TCCTTTCCATCCGAGAAATCACAGGCATGGATTGGGCTCGCTCACCTAAGTGGTTAGCGTATTATGCGGCTCTTTCTCCACTATGCTATAAGGTCTCTACAGCAAATCTCTTTTGTTTGTAAACCCGCGTCGTGTGTGGCAACCATAGGCCGAATATTTAGCTCGTTTTATCCACAACCTTACTGCCGTTGATTGGCCGGTTCGGATATTGGATTTGGAAAGGGAAGAACGCAGAAGGTCGTCTCTCTAAATATATTCAACCCTTCAAACAATATTATGCCTTTGAATGAATCAAACTGTTTAAAAGCAGTGGCTTAGAAGATTGTGATGCTGCAATGCCTCCTTAATTGTGCGGTCTCAGTGGCATTCCCATTCAATTCAGTTCAGAACCGCCACGTTATGATCTGTGTTAAACTGTGTTATCTCGCGCTCGAACGACATATTTGTGACACGTGTTTCCTGGCTGCTTAGCACTTGTGTCCGCTCCTGTCGCCTGTCTTCCAACTGGAGAACATGCTGTAGGTGCCCTGTATGTCTAATGTTGCCATAAATTAATTCGCCTGCGAAGCATAGTCCCTGGCCTTATCCTTCTAGGGACACATGACGGACATCGTTAGAAACGGCTGTCCAAACTCGCAAAAATAACAACGCAGGCACCTCAGGCAAATTGTGTTTGGTCTCCGCTGTCGTGAATCCTAAACCTGCATGTCTATATGCGTCTTTGGTCACCCGCTGCCAATCAGTGAAATTGTGCACGTTGGTTGGCTGGCCCCAAACTCCGTCAGTCCGAGCAGCGAATCAATCAGGACCGTGAGTCAGACCGGAAGTCATGAGTCAGTTTTTGTGCCGGCGGATATGTGAGCAGACGGTCTCGACCAGGAGCTTGAGTCAAATTAAGTGTCAGGTATAGGAAAAGACCACCATGAATTCATCCAGCATCTACGTACATCGCAGAAACCCGCATTTTACTGCACCTGGTTTAGATTAGCAACCAGGTAAAAAAATGACATGAGAAAACATTTGACCCGATTCCAAATTTCGAGAGCATAGAGAGCGAGGTTCTATACCTTGGGTAGCTAACCATCAGGAACCAGTTCTTCAAGCAAGCTACTTCCAAATATTGGCTTTCCGAAGGTAGGGATCAACGTGGACATCTTTTAAGATCCGTCCTTTGGCCCTCCTCATCCACTTGCATGCGGCGTGGCCAACGACTACGATTTTACGGATATTCTAGTCCAACACGGTAGACCGAAAACAGATAATAGCGAGTGGTTTACAAGAAGGGTTGTTTCCGAAGGGTTAGCTGCGCATGGAACATTAGCGTGTTATTTGTACCGCGAAAACATACAGTATGGTTAAGCATTTGTGCTAAATATAAAAGGCGAATGCCTCCTTCGGCTGGAGCGTGGCCAATTCGTGCCTCCAGATATCACGGAAGTAGGACCGCAAATGCAAAGTATATGGTTGTCGGTGGTGCTCGTGTCACAAATCCTGAGTACTATTCTATATCCTCATAACAATCAAACTGATCAAATTATACATATTATGACCGAATAAATGAACAGACAGATTATCGTCATCGTAGCTCGAAATTGACACTGAGTACACCTAAACAACGAGGAATATTAAGCACTGTCTACCCCTCAATTTCCAGTCAGTAAGGTCGATTTTCACTTCTCTGTCTCCTACACATATTGCGTCATTATTAACATGCTTGGACTGTTCACTTGTAAGGTGTCGGAGCATAATAATTCAAACTTACCCTACCCGTGGCCGTACTGTGCTTCGTTTAGACTAGGTTGTCTTGCATGATCTGACAGAAACCTAACAGAATAATTTGGGATTCTCGATTACCGGATAAATTCTATACTTTTCCATCCGCCAGCACGTTCGTTGGTTTTAGTGAGCAATAACCTTGAACACCGTTATAAAAGGCCGCCTAAGCAAAAAGATCCGTCCTGTTTCAGCGCTAATTGGTGTTCTCGAATTAAGAGGTTAAGGTATGTTAAGGGTTCTCAATTGATAAAGATTTTTATGTAAATAGATTATAGTCGTTTCAAATATCATACCGCAAAAGTCAATCATCTTATAAGATCAAAATGATTTAGTTTCCAGATTTAAAAAATCATGTTTTTCTCCTGTTATGTTAAGATATATGTTTCCCCTTTACAACTTGTAAAAAAACATAAAAAAGCGTAAATTTATGTCTGCTGTATTTTATCATTTATGTCTATGTGAAAAATCCAGATAATTTCAAGAAATATTATTTTTCACAAATTTTTTTGACAAATAGCATGCTTATGCAATATTATTTGCAGTCATCTGAAAATGTGCAAACTCCCTCTAAACACATCAACTCCATATTGTGTTCAAAGTTTGCGTTCTTACATATTTAGCGTTGTAAAAAATATACAACGTAAATGTACTATGTCCTTAAAAACACTCCGTGAATCTGAAAATCCTGAAGAGATCCTGAACGTATGTTAAATATAGATTGGCTTCATAAATCGACTTTAAATCCTATCGTATATTTGTACACGTTTTCAACTTCATTCCTGCTTAATTTCATTTCTCCTGATGTATATCTAGCAAAACTTTGCATGTTTCTATAGAAGATGGCAATTCTCGGGCTTCTAAAGCTACTTCGACCGCAAAACCAGCATTTATTGCGTCAGTTTTCGAGTGTGCCATGCAAGAAAATTTCAAAGTTAATGGTGGCCAATCGTGGTACGTACACGAATATTATTGTTTTCTTTGGAATTGTAACATTCCGTCGTCAATTCTTATCTGCAGTTACTTTTAATATGCTGCACCAAAGATATAATTTTTTGTTCTGCTTCTTTCTGGGAAAAAACTTTCCAGTGCGCTTCTCATACAGTAGGTGTCTTCCGTTACATCTCTATAAATAAGCGGCTGTGTCTGGAATCGTTTAGAGTGTTTGCACCGGCGACATATTCATAGAACAAGGTAACACACGAAGACTGCTAATCGATATGAGCGCAGTTGTTGACCAAAGGTAACGGCTTGATTGAAAACGTTATCCCCAGTTCTGTAAAAGGGCCGCGTTACGGAAGGGTCTTCTTTCTTGATCCTCAGTTCTCCTTATGATTGATTTAGTTTTAATTAGACTTTTTACTTATTGTGATGCCCTCAGTGCAAGAGATTATGCGCTGCCTACAACCGAGCTGATGTGTGTGATAAATTTGAAGTCAATCTCCCCCTTACACTTGCCACATGCCGAGTAGGTCCTTATAGAACTAAGAGGTACGACAAATGGGACATTATGTAGAACTGATTAGAGTCTGCCTCGCATTTGATTGGGATAACTGTCTTACCCCGTCATAGAATAACTCCGTGACCGAATGAGATTAATCCTTTTGAAGAAGGAGTTGTCTCTCTCCAGTATTACCTTTGTTTATTCCAGCTCAATGACCAATCGGGTCTTTCATCCTAGTCACGTAAGCGTACCCCTCATGCAGGCTTCACTTCCGTATGATAGTACGCTTGGAGTCAGGCCATCTCAGTGCAATCCAAAATACCGTCTGTTTTCCAACCCAGCGTCAATGCAGTCCACTTGGACGGACATGCACCTACGCTGCCGCGTACTATTTGACATTCATTTGAAGGTTATTGAGCGTCTACTTGGTGGCGGTCCTTGGAGCAGCACAATCTTCACGCCAAATCTCCAGTAGTAGGTAAAAGGCAGAAGGCGCCATGATGAGAGATTTATTGTGTACAGAATTCCCAGTTGCCAGGCTTGACCCTAAGTCATATTTTAGTCATCAAACGCCGAACTATATCGACTTTACGCTACTTTTCCTCTTTTTACCACTGGCTTGAATAAGCGAGGACATATGCAGGTTCTGAACTGAGATCAAGTGCGTTAAGCGGGCTGTGGTCTTAAAGCAATTACTGATCGGATAACTAGCTCAGGGGGCCGAAAGAGCGAAAGTTTGGCATTACAATGGTTTCGCCATTTTCATTAAAATTCAGAATTTTGGCGTGTTGAAAACCAGGATGGGGTAGTTATCTTCTCAAAGATTTTGTCACTTTACCAAGCCCAAGTGTGCACCCTGGGCCAACTATAGGCCCAGGCGCAGCCATTTTTACGAAGGTAGCTGTTTTCGATGTGCCAAGTCGGTAAATGGGGCTTTCAAAGCCACAGCGGAGTCAAAAAATAATTGTTTACGCCTGGATTCTTTGCAAATATCTTGATTGGGTATTCTGACATCCAAAATAGACTCTCCGCATAGCAAGAAAGTTTTAGTGGCTGTTTAAAGTGAAAGAATAATAAACCCTAGTTTTAGTTTACAAAAGGCAATAATTCTTACATAAATTCTTGTAGCTCACAAAGGCAACAGGATGCTTTAGACGCAAATACGTCCTCAACCTCAACCCAAGCTATGGTCCTCGTAGATGCGTCAAAAGTTCAGTCGAATTTATCATGTACTTGGGCAACATATCAGCAAGGACAAGTCTTTTTCATATTTTATTACTTTTGCCAATTGGCATTGAAAACTTACCTAATTGCATGCCAAAATCTGTAAGCAAAAGATTTACTTAAACGTGTTTGTTTATCTCAGTTTGGTAATTTGCATAAATACGCCTTGATTTTGAGATCACTTCTAAACTTTTTCTCCAGGTGAAATCGCGATTCGCGTTTTCCGTGCTTGCGATGAGATGGGTATTCGCAGTGTGGCCATCTACAGTGAACAAGACAAGAAAATGCTCCATCGGACAAAGGCAGATGAGGCTTACTTGCTTCAAAAGGCTCGTGATCCCGTGGCTGCTTACTTGAACATCCATGAAATAATCGAAATCGCAAAGGTGCGTTCAATGCTCACATTTCACGCATAGAATATATTAAGTTATCCTAATCCTTTAGCCTATAATATTCCTGATTCGAACCGGCAAGACAACGGACCCGTGTCTCAATAATTAGAGTGTTGGACTTCTGACCAGTAGGTTGCAGGTGCTTGATGAGGACTAAAAAGCCTTCCCTTCTCCCTTGTTCTTGTCGGCAATACCCATCTATCTATCTCGTTTCGCTCTTAAGTGTGTTTAATAATCACCTCTTCTGGTTCCCACCTCGAGCTCTCATTTAACCTTATTTTACTTTTAAGCGGTCTTGGCATCCGTTACATACAAGTGAAGACAAATGGTTTATTTTTCGATTCCACATTTTTGCCGCTTTAAATGGGCATTCGATTCAATCGCTAAGGGTAGAAGAAGAGGCCGCGCAAATGATTTTGTTTTCTTGCCACGTGGTGGCAGATTGCGATAGTTGTTGACCTCGCAACGCCACTCTTCCTTCAACCGACCTAATATCTGATTGGTCCGTTAGCAGCACGCGCACGAAGGCAAATATATGACCTGAAGAGGATGGATGACCGGCCACTAAGGATAACAGGCCTTTAGCGCTGTGAGGGCAAGTTTGTCCTGATGCGTCCACATCTTGTCTCGTCGGGTTGAACAGCACTGGGTAGATGTGCACTGCACGACAAAGTGGCCTAGCCGCGCTAACTCTGGAAACTGTTCACTTTTTAACGTTAGGCCCTTAAGCAGTGGTGGGCAGTCCGTATAGGGCCAACAGCGAGAAAACCGAATAACTGAAAGCACAAATCCGATGCCTGTTTGTGACACCTAAGGCAGAAAGAGTGGCCGGACATTTCTGGACTGAACTAAACTGCCTTAAAAGCCGCCGTCGGACGGAAGCTCGTAAAGTCTATGCCAATGTTCATGTTTATTTGGTTCGCCCTTTTTTCTGGTTCGATTGCATCTCAACTACTGAATAGATAGTTTTAAAAACACTCCTTCTCCATCGCAATATTGTCCACTTTGGCTTGCATCCTGAGTGCGCATAGTTGTTGTGCATTGCCCGCATTTGGTGTTCATTCAGTTGTCTTCTGATGCGCTTAAACATTTTGTTCACAGTTATAGCTTTAAACCACGTGTTCAGTAGACGTTTCTGTACCACGTAGGTAGGACCTTAGCTCATCAGGTGTGAGAGCATTCAGTTATCCGGTTCGTCACATTGAGCCTTAAGATTCCATCTGTAGCCCTCCCAGACAGCCATATAATAACCAATCATGTATGGAGAATAAAAGGTGGGTCTACTAATGGTCAAAGGTCTCGCGTTAAAATTCCACGTCAGCCAGGCCTGAGGTCAGGTATAATTGACTGAGAGGGTTATAAATGGCCGCCCGGTGTCGATACAGAGTCAAGAAAATGTGATCACTAGAACAAAAATTTTATCTTA